CGCACCTGACCATAAGACGCACCTAGGTTTTAGAGGAGGGATCCATGGAAAGCTTTCTGATAATCACAGGCACATTCCTCATCACTTCCCCATGGGCTTCATTAAAAGATGGGTTGCTATTTGAAAACACACACCGACCTGTGATTAACAGCTTTCACCTGCGCCGGAGGAGGGGGGCGGAGCAGGGCGTGCTGAGTGCGTGCCGGCCAGGTGTGGTGCAGCCGGGCCGGCAGCGTGCCGGTGGTGGTCTTCCGGGCAGCGCGGCGGCGGCAGGTCTTCCCGGGTGGTGGGGGTGAGCAGTCCGTCTCTCCGTGCAGCTGGTGGGTTAAAGCCCGCGGCTCCTCCTCCTCCGCAGCAGGTCTTCCCGGGCGGTGGGGGTGAGCAGTCCGTCTCTCCGTGCGGCCGGCGGGTTAAAGCCCGCGGCTCCTCCTCCTCCGCACGCCTCCCCCTGAGCGGCACAGCTCTCACCTGCGCCGGGGGGGGGAGGGGGCCGGAGCAGTGCGTGCCGAGCGCATGCCGGCCAGGTGGTGCCATGTGGTGCAGGTGGGCCGGCAGTGTCCCGGGCATCGGGCACACACACATTCGCTCTATAAGACACACAGACATTTCCCCTTACTTTTGAGGGGGGAAAAAGTGTGTCTTATAGAGCGAAAAATACGGTATATCATGCTGGGCCTGTGCCAACTGCATTGGCTGCCTGTTATTGCCCTGGCCCAATTCAAAGTGCTCACGCTAACATATCAAGCTTTAAACGGCTTGTGATCGGGATTATCTTAAGGAACGCCTGTCTCCATATATCCCTCAGACTGCTCAGATTGTCAACGGAGGCCCTCCTTCGTGAACCCCCAACAAATGAAGTGAGGGGCGAATTAGCTACAAAAAGGGCCTTCTCTGTTATCGCACCTCATCTTTAGCACTTTTATTATTTGTTTTTGTTGCCAAGTAAAGATCTTTCTATTTAGTATTTGTTTTCAGAATCATGCTTTTATTTGGTTTTCTCTGATAGTTTTATTTTTGCTTATATTATTGCTTATTATCCTCCTGTTTTTGCACTTTATATTAGTTGGATTTTATGTAGGTTATAGCTGGTATTGTTTTATTATATTTATACTATGTTGTTGTTGTTGTTTCTTGTGAGCTAGCCAGAGACCCCTTGGGCTATGGGACAGCATACAAATACATACAATAAACACATACATAAATAAACATGATGGAGTTCTTAGGATGGCTGGATGCATAAGAGGATAGAGTTTTTGCACCTTTGTTAGAAGAAGGAATTTCAGAAGGCATCACTTGTCATGCAGAGTCTATGTGTAGATACTCCTTTTTCTTGACAACAATTAAAGGTTAAGGAACCCTGTCCTCTTCTACATCTGGCCACCTTGCAAAATGCGAGAGAATGCAGAAAATTTCTTTTGATTCTGGGAGACATCCAGTGATGGGATTGGGAGGGAGATAATTATCCTTCCTGCTGTGGTCCCTTGCCTGCTTTCAGAGCCTTCCTTGCAGGGCACCTGCATGAAGAAGGAGAGAGGGAGAAAGTGCACCCCCCCCCCATTCTGGAACATCCCTTGCAAGCTCATTGCAAACTGAAGGTTTGTACTCTTGACTTCATTTTTTTCCTTGAACATTTGTCATGTACAAGAACATCACGACTGAACGACTGTAGTTTTTGGCTGTGAGACTTCCCCAAACCATTTAGCTCAAGAATCATGAAAATTTGGTTTACGTAAATAGGAGTTTGAGTTCAAACCTCGAGGACTTGGCTGTGGAACTTGGAAAAATATTAGATGCAGTCTGACAACAAAGAAACTGCTTCAGTGCAAGATGCACTTTAGATTATGGTGCCTGTGCCAAGATTTTGAGCTTCAACTATCAAGCTCAAAAATGGATGAAAAATGGAATGTTGATTTTCAAACTGACTCTGCCCTGCACAAATAAAGCAGCTCAACCACAAGCACATTGGTGATCAGAGCTGCCTGACGGTGCAGCCCTGGGAATGTTTACTCAGAAGTAAGTCCCTACTAATTTTAGTTGGATTTGCTTCTGTGTAAGCTTGCAAAGGGACACAGCCAATCTTGTATTGTGACACTGTGTACGTCTCTTTGGACTTAAGAGAAGGGGCCTGGAAGATATCTCCTGGAAGTGGGTTTTGATCTGCATGTGCCAACGCAGAATGACCCTCTTTGGTTCTCTAGCAGATATTTCAGCAAAGAAGGGAACTCTGAGCAAAGCTGCATCCACAGAGATTAGGGGAAAGGAAGGAGGAATATCTACAAGAAGATACGTCCATTAATGCAGTCCAGAGCTTTGTTGGATGCATGCCAGCAGCACATCGATCTAGGAGGACTGTGTAGAAGGGGAAGAAGTGGCGTGAGCAGCAGTGCTGGTCCCCAGTTTCAGAAATCCCTTGGGCTGGATGCCCTCAATGTGCCCCGTCCTGGCTCAGTGGATCTGTCAGAATCTTTTCAAAAATCCATCCTGTATGACAGTAAATTTGCATGCATGGCTCTGACCACAACCACAGATACGCATGGCTACTCATCCGTGTTGTCACCCTCTGCTGTCGTGCCCCTTATTCCTCCTCAGCGTTGCATCGCTTGCTTGCTGGACCAGCAGAGAGCCCAGGAGTGAGCAGACAGGGGCATCTCCTGCTGCTGCTCCCCACACCGCTCTTGCCTGGGCCAGAGTGAGCAGCAGGAGAGCAGGCAGGTTGTGCTGCTGAGGAAGAGGAGCAGCACCAGGGTGATCCTGTCGGCAGACCTTTGCTGGGATCTGGACCTTTGGCAGGTGACCTGCCATACCTCCCTTTGATGCTGGTCCTGATGATTGGTGCAAGCAGGTTACAGGGGCAGGCAGCTGGCTGGGGTGCCTTGCACAGGTGAGCTGTGCAGCCGTCAAGAGGCACAGCAACTAGTACAAACAGGTCCAGGATCGTGGGCAGGTCCAAGGAGAGCATCCAGGAGTTTCGATGGACTAGGATGGCATCTGTGAGGAGCCCAGCCATTTCCACCAGTTCAAAGCTAGAGCTGCATTGCAAATTCTGTCCGTTTGCTGAAGTGTGCAAAGGAGATGGAAGGGGATAGGTGGGAGAAACTGGTTTCATACCTTGTGCTTCTAGCAACTGGCTTCAAAAGAGCAAACAATATGGTCAGTGTGGTACCGTGATTTAGAAGAAGGTAAAGATGGGCGAGACTCAGAAGACCACTGGATGGCCTGAGACCATCTCACTCTCAGATTAATTTACCCCACTGTGTGGCTATGAGGATAAAACATTTGCAGGTGGAATGGGGGGAATAGCAGGTAGCCTGGATAAACACCCTAGATGAACTGTGGGATACAAATGTAATAAAATACTTTTCCTGGTCAGGGCAGCCCTAGTTTATATCATCCATGTTGCTAGAAGAAAGACCCATGTTTCAATTTGAAATACAAACTCTCTGCTCTCTCTGCATACAAATTTATGAGTGAGAGTAATCTTGATAGTTCGTTTTCTCAAACATGGCATGTGAATAGGGAGTTGGGATGTCAGAGCAGGTCCATCCACATTAGCCAGCCCTTTAAGAATTTCCAATTATTTGTGAGTTTGTGTGAATTTATAATTAAGGTTCTAGCAGGTTAATGTTTAATTTATTTCATTTTAAATTGCCAGTTACTGGATGTGGTGCTTGTAGACCTACACCCTTCCCTTGAGCTGCCCAGCCCAGGATGCACACAAGCCAAACCAAGAGCTTGGTGCAACTTCTTCAACCTGGGGCACTCTACAGGTGTGCTAGACTACTTCCCCCACAATCCCCAGCCAGCATGGCCATTGACTGGGGATGATTGGAAATTCAATCCAACATCTGACAGGTACCAGGCTGGGAAAGGCTGCCTTAGTTCTTTAGGAAGTAACAGGTTATTTCTGATGGGCAAGTGATGTTTTCAGGTGTTAATATCTACTGTGATGAATGCCTTAACTCTTGCAGGAGAAGCTCAACTTTTCAATTTCAGGGTATGTTAAGTTCTCATGGTTGGCTGAAGAGTGGCAGTGTGATATCTGTGCTCTGGTAGAAATCAGAAGAACCTGATACCATGTCTGATCAGGGAATGGATTGGACAGGACATGTTATGTTTAAACAGAGGGTGCTCAGAAATCCAGCTTTGCTTGCTAAAAGCAAAAATGCATAGGCTTTTGAACTTAGTATGTGCCCTGAGAATTTGGGATGATTGGGTTAGGCATTTTAAGGGTGCAATCCTATGCTTGATTACACAGAAAAAAGTCCTATTACTTGCAGCATTATCCAGTCAGCCATGCAGCTTCTGTAAGAGGGGCAGGAAGTATTAATCTTGTACTTTGTGTGTGTATTTAATAAATATGGTATTGCTTACTCTTGCTGGCAAAAACCAAAATAAGTTAACCATCTAAACAAGCACTTTAGCCCTATTAATTTGAAAGGAAACACTCCCATTAAATCAATTGCATTCAAAAGTGCTTAGCTTTAGATGTAATCTATGAAATAAATGAGTTAATTACAAATCCTTTGCATAAGTCTGCTATAACTATTCTGCTAGTTTTCTTCCCTGTTTTCCCTCCTTTAAAATGATTCATGTAAAGAAAAGAACTTTCACTGCTGATGTTAATGATTTTGAAATTAGCTGCAAACAGCCAGGAAAGGGGAAAAACCTCCGCCTTGTTTTAGTATCAGCTCAGGGCAGGGAGGAGTTTAATGTGCCCAAATACTTTTGTAAGCTTCAGTGGGGGAAAGAGCAAAAGGCTTAATTGTGGAGCAGTTGTGTGGAATTGCTGGCTTCCAGGTATGGCCTTCCATATGTTTGTGCCTTGGGTAAAAGAAATAAAAGGGAATAATTGCTCAGGTGTGCTTTTATAGCATGCACCTCTGTTGCATTGCGGGCTGTGCTGGTTGATTTTAGTGGGAAGCAGGCTGCTGGAGGGGAGGACTCGACTGGCCACACCTCCCGTCGTTCTATATCTGCTTGGAAGAGAGGCTGCCTGCTTCCTCACCCTGGAGCTCCAGAGGACAGACCAATGTGAATTCCTTCATTCACCCCTCACTGCTGCTCAGCACGTTCTCCCCAAGCAACGTTTTAATGGCTCGGACTGAGCTCTCTGCGGGGCTTTTGCTGTTGCTGACCTGTTGCTCAGCCAATGCACAGGGCTGGAGGAGTTGGTGGACTTGGGGGAACCTGGAGAAAACAACCTTTCCTCCCACCGAAGCTGCCAGGACTGAGGAGCAGACCGCACTGCATCCTGGCACGCCTGAAGAGACCACCCCCCTGAATGTGCCCGTTGAGAGCACCACCGAGCAGAAGGGAAGCGTGTGGACTGTCTTGACCCCCGGGAGACCAGACTTGACTGCTGCCACGACCACCCCTCCAGCAGCATCCCTTTCCCAGCTGGAAGGCACAGAAGGAAACATTACAGGGGCAGGGGCAGAGATACTCAGCACAACTGAAGGAAGCGGGAATTTGCTTCAGTTCGGGGATGAGAAGGCAACTGAAGGAGCAAAGACGGAAGAAGCACCTGTGGCTGCAGATCCTGTGACAGCACTGCCCCTCCCTGTTACGGAGCCCGTGAGCATCCAGAACACCACTGCCAACTCCACAGGTGATGTGCAGACCTCAGCGGAAACTGGGCAGCCTGAACTGGCTCTCGCGGTGACTACAAAGCAGGCTGTTCTGTGGAATGAGACCCGAGTCCTCCTAAAGAAGCCTGAGATTCCCCTCCCAGGTAGCGCTTCTTTCTCGTTTTCACCAAATGGTCGTGATGACAGTGGCACCACGCTGGCATTCCAAGAATCGACAGATGCGGGGCAGGAAGGTGCTGCCAGCCCAGAGACAAGGGCAGCCTGGGGAGTGCTCTCAGACAGCCGAGGAACCCCGTCCCATGGGAATGCTTTGGAGATGCAGGCGCCTCGGGCACCTAGCAGCAGCATGCGTGCTGGAATTCCATCCAAGGTGGTGGGTGCTTTAGACAACGGGCTTCTCCGCTCTGTACTAAATTCATACCCATCAGTCTCTCATGGCAATGGAGCCCATAAAAACCACACCTCCCTTAGGCCTGCTGGGATGGTGGTAACCGATGCAAATAAGAATCGCTCTAGGGATTTCGTTGTTTCTAATTCGAGCACAACTAATTTTATGGATTTTCCCCCTGCCAATAACTCTGACTCTCTTGAGTTGCTACTAACCTACGCTATGCAAGATTTTAGCAATAGTAGTGTGGGGCTTGCTTCCTTCTTTCCTGGACTGACTCCAGCAGCTGGCCACTGCTTGCCCTTACCAGGCAAGCTGTCATATTGCAACCACCTGGGCATGAAGCATTTCCGAGTGCCGAATTATTTGCATCATGGCAGTGAGGAGGAAGTTTGGGCTGCTTTGCATGAGTGGGAGGGGCTTCTTAAATCTCGGTGTCACCGCTACTTGGAGTGGTTTTTCTGCTTGCTACTGGTACCTGGGTGCAATGCTTCTCTTCCAATCGCACCTCCACCGTGCCGGGGATTTTGTGAGGCCCTGAAAGATCTGTGTTGGACTCAACTGAAAACAGGGCACCTTCCAATATCATGCGACTCTCTCCCAGCAGAGGATGGTGCATATGCATGTGTATTTGTTAATGTTTCAGCAGGTAATGTGTCAGAGTAATATGTCTTCCTAAATCTTTCTACATCACCAGGTAAGCTAATTTGTGATAAACTCCAGTACCAAAAGCGGTCACTTTGTCAAGCTGTGGCACAAATACACTTCTTTGTCTTTCAGGAAAGAGAAAAATGGTATGAAGGAAGCCACCTTTGGTTTCTCTTCAGAGGGTGCATAAACTCAGCTCTTTATGGGCCAGGCAATAAGCATTGTCCTGATGTGAGCTATGTGTTATGGCATAGGCTGCCATCCTGAAGAATAGACACACAGAGGCATCTGGGCCCAGCTTGGCTAAAACCCAGCCTACAAACCTGTCTGCCTCCTTCACACTCCACCTGTGCCTGCTCTCCAGCTCTGGAGATTAGAGGCCAAGGTGCGCCAACACATAGGAGGCCAACGTGTGCATTGTAGTGTGCATTAGAATGGCACCAAGGATTTGACATGTGGCAAACATGCCAAAAAGGTTTGTCTCTGTTGCTTTAGACTCTAACCATTTCATCATTTGGGAGACTTGAACATCAGAGTGGGAAATTAATGGAAACCAGATAGGTTGTTTGAGGGCATTATTACAAATATTGAAGGGATGTGTGTGTGTGTGAGAGAGAGAGAGAGAGAGAGAGAGAGAGAGAGAGAGAGAGAGATACGTCTCTGCTCCCACTGGGCTTCCCACTGAATTTCAAGCCCAGGCTGGACTGTCATTAATAATGTCCTTTTCCCCCCTTCGGGTGCTTCATTTAACAAACATTTTTCAACCAACGCATCTTCTTATCTGAATAACGCATGTAGTCTCACAACAACATATGCAGTGATAAACAATGAGTCTTATCAGTGTATAAAAATGCTTAGGAGTGCTAATGGAATGCCACTGCCTTTGCCAACACGTTCACTTCCACACACACTGAATTGCAACTCTTAGCAGCCAGCCTGCTTGGCCAGTGGGCGTGTTGGCTGGGATGGCAGCACACCTGGAGGGTAAGATTGCGACAGGACAATCTTACTCATCAAACCAAGTGCATGAGAATGAATAAATGCAAAAGTCAGACAGATTTTTAGATTGTATCTAAAAGGAAGGTAATTGTCATTGTTTCACTGGAGGAAGAATAAAGGTTACGGAAATTTCTTTTCAGCTCCATATTCGGCACCTTTACATTTTCAGCTATGTATTATAGTGTCCTTTTCCTGCTGATTTATCTCTGCTGCATTTGGAATGCATTTTAGAATGCAAAAGAAAGCCCACTCCATCAGGCAGTTCTTTGCCTTGTTGCTTGGCACTGGGTGTTCCATGCTTTCCATCTTTTGGAATTTCCCCTCCTCTGAACCATGTGCCCAAACTGTAGCATTCTAGAATGCAAGTTTCTACAAGTAACCCTTGCTTTTGGGTGCATCTGTGATACCGCAGATTTATGCTGGAGGAGAATTACCCACTGTCTCTTGGAATTTGAGAACTTGGGGGTCATCCAGTGAAACTGTTTGGCAGTAGATTCAGGAGTACACACAGAAAGAAGTACTCCATGCAACGCACACTTAATCCAGGATGTCAGATATATTGCTACAGGATGTTATGATAGAGGTTGGCATAAATATCTTTTTATTAGACAAATGTGTGCCAGATAGATCTGACAATGACTATAAACTGTAACAATTAAGAAAGGAATGTCTGTGTTCAGTGTTAACCTATTTCTGGTGGAAGACTTGAAAGTGGCATGGAAGAAACTTCACATCTTGTGACGCTGTTGCATGTTTCTTTTGTCCCACCAGTCAGAGGGGTGTACAAATTATTGGAACAGCCACAGGACCTTACAAAGTCTCTACTCCAGGGATGGAGGGGGGATGAGTGAGTAGCCATTTCTCTTTGAAACTGCTCCTCACTCTCTGGAGCAGGGGAGGACTGTTACCATTATGACTAGTTACCCATGTATATTTGGCTGGATGGACAGCAGGGCAATGATGACGTCTTCTGTATTCTGCTTCTTTTACCTACCTGAGAGGTAGGCAGCTGTGTTCTTCCTCCATGCTACAAAAAGCTCAAGAACTTTTTTGTACAAGAAACTGTTAATCCACTGCACTTGGGGGTCAGACTAGATGGCCCGGGAGGTCCCTTCTGACTCGCTCTGTTTCTATGTTTATGTTTCTATGTTTACTTTTGGAAACTACATGACAAGCATGTCCTTTCTTGCTTTTCCACTGCATAACCTGTAGGAGGCACTGGTATAGTTGCATGGCACAAATACACAAAAGGAAAGCGTACTTCCTTTCACTTATATGTTGCATTTCCTTGCTCTTAAAAACATACTTGAAGTGCTGCTTAAAGCAAGCAAAACTGGAGGGTCACCGTGTTTTCTAAAGAAGCAGAAATGACCATGAGTAGGGAGTAACAAATGCACAGTAAATTCAAATTTATTTCTTCTTGAAACTGGGAGAGATCAGAAGCAGTGTGATGTAATGAAATATTATTATTGCATTTATGTCCCATATCTCTTTAATGAAATTGGGGTTTTCAGGCACTTAGCCATACAAGTGTACAGTGGACCCAGAAATACTGCCGGGAATGAAAGAGGCAGTTGTTGTTGGTGCGCATTTCAGGGACCAACTCTGTCTGAGGACAGCGGAGCCTGGGAAGGAGGCCTACAGACATAGAGAAGGTGGAGGAGAGGGGAGGACTTATCTCGAGACTGCTGACACCACGTGTTCAAGCAGCATCTAGGGAACCAGCAGGGTCTGGAAGTGTTAGGAAGGGGATAGGAAAGGAGCCTGATCTGGGCCTTGACCCCATGATGTGGCATCAGGAGAGAAGGGCTAGCCAACTAGATAGTCTGTGTACAGCTTGGGCAAGCCTGCCTGTCTCCAAGGAGCACTTGCAGGGGGTGGTTACTCAGAAGGAGGATTCTTGGAAATAGTTTCTGGCTTGAGAACTGCTCCGTGCATGCTCAGAGACTCTTTCTTTGCTGGCTAAAGCTTGCTGGACATACATTGGAAATAAAGTGCTTTTGCCAAATACCTGCCTGTTGTTTGAAAGAGAGAAGGGGGACCTAGCTCCTGACAATTACTTAATTTAGGAATATAGGGAGCTGGCTTATTTTAAGTCAGGCAGCCGATGCATCTAATCCAGTAGTGCTGGCACTGACTGGCAGGAGCAGGGTTCAAGGATTCAGGCAGGGCTCTTTCTTAGCTCTACCTGGAGATGCTGGGGATTGAACCGGGGGCCTTCTGGGGCGTGTGTGCTCTAGCACTGAGCTAGGCAGCTCCATCAGTGTTACATCCAGTGCCTCAAGTTCCCAGGGAACCCACCTGAAACCCGACCTGGCCTTTCTGTAAATTTGCACACACATAGTAGTGATGTCTGTTAGCCAGAGTGCTTAGTTGGGGTGTGAGGAGCCCAGTCTCCTTTCTTAGCCATCAAGCTTACTGTGCTTCCAGATGAGCATTTAGCTTGCGATAGCTGCGCTGCAAACCTGACATTTTCCAAGAGGTCCAGGTGGAGTTATCTTCCATTTGTTATCTGCTGCTTTCTCCTTTGGAAAAAATCCATTAAGGAGGAAAAATGGAGTCTTTCCCAATGCACTTAAGATTGGCAGTGCTAGGAACCATCCATCTGGAAGCACCCCTTATTTCAGTTTAACTTTACTTGGCAGGGATTTTGTAAGGCGAAAATGCCAATCGGAACAGCTCAAGGAGGAGGGCAGGATGCAAATGGAACAAAGCACAAGAAACCATTCTTTGTAAACGTAAGGGCTAGGACAGCCTCTCCCAATTTGGTGCCTTCCAAATGTTTTAAACGAGGCATTCCTGATGGTTGCCTATGGAGGCTTGAGCGTTCCCATCAGCCTTAGCCATGGTAGACAATAGTCAGCTGGAAGATACCAGCTTGGGAAAGTTGGGGCAAGAGACTTGCTTGCTTTTAGAGAAGATAAACCATGAGTTGGTGTAGTGCAGTGGTTAAAACTGTGGGACTGGGACTTGGGAGATCTGGGTGCTAGTCCCCACTCAGCCATGATACTCAAATCATGGTTTAGCGTTATGTCTGCACAAAATAACTCTGTGCCTAAGTGGCTTTTGCATGAGTCACATATGCGCTTGGACAATCTTGTTTCAGTTTAGTAACTCACTATATGAACAAACCTTTCATGAGTGAGTGAATGAACAAAACAATCAGAAAGATTCATTTATTTAACAGTATACTTGTTTCATGGCCACATGGCTCTCTAGATGGTTTACATAATAGTTTTACTTAACTGTAGTTCCCAGATTCACCCAAATGGAGAAATGATAATTAATGGCTTCAGAATAAGCCAGGATAGGAAGCCATATTCTGAAGCTAGTTTCATCCAGACAAGACGGAGGTGCTCCTTGCCTACTGGAAGGCAGATCAAGGAAGAGGGATTCAGCCTGTGCTGGATGGGCTTCCACTCTGTCTGGAGGTGCCCTTCTGGAGGCTTCCACTCTGTCTGGATTCAACCCTGAGCCTGGATGCTCAGGTTTTGGTGCTGGCCAGGGATGTGTTTGCACAGTTAAAACTAACGCATCAGCGGTACCTGTTCCAAGAGATGTCTGACTTGGCCACTAGCACGTGCCTTGGTTACATTCCATTTGGATTACTGTAACATGCTCTGCATGGGGCTAGCTCTGAAGAGTGTCCGGCAGCTCCAGCTGATCCAGAGAGCTGCTGTCAGACTGTTGACTAGGGCCGGCTATAGGGAGCACCCAGCTTCTTTGCTGCAAGACCTTCCCTACTTCTGGGCACAATTCAAAGTGCTGCTTATGGCCCTCTATGGGTCAGGCACAGACTATCCTTTATGAGCCTGCCCAGGCCCTAAGATCTTCTGAGAGAGGCTCTTCTCTTGGTCCCACCCCTCTCACAGGCATGACTGGGGGGAACATGGGAGAAAGCCTTCTCAGCGGCTGCTCCAAGACTCTGGAATTCCCTTGCTAGGGAAGCTGGGCTGCCGTCCTGCTTGCAGTGTTTCCAAATGCAGGCAAAACCCTTTTTGT